TCACTCCTCGGGTTCGCTAGAGGTTCCACTAGAGCTGGAGCTATCCAATGCCTCATCCTCGCCAGCTTGCTGCCGCATGCGATGCTTGCAATCTCTGCAAATCGAATCAATCTGATCGGGGCTCAAGTGGTTTGTGTAGACGACATTGCTACACCTGTACGCCTTAACGTAGCAAAAGCCATTCAAATGCAACCTTCTGAATCCGCTGTTCCTTGAGACCGTGATGAAATACTTTGAAGTCTCATCCCCCTCATGGTGACCCTGGGCCACCGGATCGTGGGGACCTTCTTGCTCGTCCTCGTCGACCTGAGGGATAAACGTGGGCCACTTACCACCCAGCCTTGGCGGCCCACTGGACTTGCGCAAAACATCGTGTAAATTGCGAACATGTGATCCTCTACCATCAATCAAGTTCATAAGCTGCGAAACTCGCTCCAAGGCTTCATGCTCTAGGTACGGCCTTGGCTCGCCCGTGACAAGGCTGGACGCCACCAGCCCTTGCACCCGCTGAACCACATCTCTGGACGTCCTGACGTAGTCTGCAGAACCACCCGAATTATTGATGGCCCATCGCCCCAGAAAATCTCGGTCGGGCTTCGGCACCCCCAAGGCCGCAGCTAAAGAAGGCAGCCAATCTCTGAAAGCGTGCCCAGTCAAACTCCCTTCAAGACCCTTTGGGTAAAGCATGCCCCTGGGATCTGACCTCCAACCGCTGCTGGTAAGGCGTGGTGCCTTCAGCTCTCGAAATATCTGTCTGAGATACAATGTCAAAGTGCATGGCTCCACCCCACGACCAGTGGGCTCGGTCCAATCAGAAGAAGCTTCCATAACCAAGAAGTCCCGGGGCTTGTCATAGCCCTTCCAGATCTCGTAACCCAACTTGAGCCAGTCAACTCCTGTCAAACTCACCTCCCTTGCAACGAAGATTTTCACTTCTTTGGTCTTTCTGTCTGGCCCAGTAGTCTTCGTCTTCCCCAACACAGCACTGAGTCCAATCCCATTGAAAATCATAGTGTGAGGCAAAATGCCTTGTACATCGTCTGCCCGAAGCGAAGCCCAAATCATCACAAGGAAAACCCAAGCAACTGCCCGCTTATATGTCGGGACCTCTCGGCTTCC